ATTATAACAAGTACATGATAATTACCAGAATAATATGTAGGACTTGTAAAACGAGTTCCAAGTTAAAATAATGAGAACTGGTGCCAGAAACTGGTACTGACTATGAAAAACGCGTACCAGAAAGGTGCTCCGAAAAATATAAGAAAAATATGATAATTCTTGTAAAATTGAGTAGGTTAAGAATCCTGAGTTGGTATTAAAATGCTAAGCGTAGCATTTAAAGTTAATATTGTGTGTTTAAGTGTTAAACCGCTATAAATAGGCTTGTTGGCCCAAAACCCTAGGTATTTTCTGTTGCTACGTGACTGGTTGGAGTGGTTGGTCAGTTGCTACTGTTCCATTGTCTTCCTCCATCTCTAGTGAGCCAAGTTTTCATATTTTGCTTGGTTCCTCCTTCTTCCTCCTTGTAAACACTTGTGATTATCATTGTGAGAGTGAAATGGGTGTCTTTTCTGTGTGTCTAGCCTCTGTGTGTTGGTGTGGGGGAGCTGACCTTTGAGAGTTGAGTGGTAGGAGCTTTGTTCTACCATTTTGAGTTCCAAAGGGTGGTATTTGAAGAGAAAGAACCTTACTTGGACTACCATTTTTGTTTGTTGTGCAAGTCAAAACCTTTGGAGTTGGTTGTGAGCTCTAAGAGCCTTCCATTTCTGAGTTTGAAGCATTGGTGAGTTGCCTAACCTTGATCATGAGTTTAAATGATTTAAAGGTGGTGTCTTTGCATGTAAATGGGTTAAGCAAGTAACTAACATGTGTATGAACCTGTATAGACCTAAAAATGGAGTCTTGAACGCTTTTAATTGGTAAAAGTTGGACCTTTGTTGGATATCTTCGCGAAATGCAGAAACTGCATTCTGTCGCGAAATATTCGGATATTTGGTCGATAAATATCCGGATATTGATATCCGAATATTGCCAGTGAGATATCCGGATATTGATATCCGGATATGCCTCCGACATATATCCGGAAATTCTGGGTTTTCGTGGAACAGTAAGGTACTGTTTGTTAGTATATAGGTGTCCTAGAGACAATCTGTTACATCAGATGAACACCTTTTGCTACTTATATTTCATGATTTATTTAATAAATGAGCACATTTTATCTTTTTCATATTTTGTCTCGCCTTAATATTAGGTTAATATGCGATTAAAGATAAAAGACCCAGGAATAGAACAGGTGTTCATGTGAGGATCTATGATAGGGATCATGATCATGAGGACTCGAGGACACCACATGTCTATTGCCTAAAGTATGTTCCTAGTCTTGAATCACCAAGAGAGGGCATTGGTGATCTCAATAAGACTAGTACGACATCTTCTACTTGTATGGAGATACAAGGTAGGGACCTCATGGTATGCAGGTATGGTGATACCTTAGCTGATGTCGTAGGTGGATCTGTTCAGGAACAGATAGCACTAAACTGACCTGCAGAGAGACTCCACAAGGATTTCACTAAGTATCATTGGATTTGTTTAGTCTCTCATCGTTTGGTAGTGCGGGTCGTCCTAGACTTAAGGATGTCATCGAACACTATGTCCTAGGGTTATACTTTGACTGTACAACTCTATCCGCCTGAAACATGGGGAGAACAGTGTACTCTTGGGTATAACTTGAATACATGAGTCTAGATGGACATGCCGAGAGGACTCATAGTCCCCTATAAGGGATTAGTCATTCACAAGACCGGTCGAACTTGGATGACTTCTAATTGACTCGGGAATCTATGCATAGTAAGTGATCATGAGGAGTCATGATCAATCTTAGAGTCAATAGAAAAAGATTCCTAGTTCTATGAAAAGCTATATTTAGTCAACAAGAGAGATGATACTATTTCCTTGCTCTCGACTAAATGTGAATGACGATATGAGGGATGATTCCGACACGGTATCCAAATTAGAAAGGTAGATCACTTGGTCAACTCAGTTAGTTCTGGGGCCGCAGAGCATTGCTAGTGTCTTATGTGGTCATTAAATGAATTGGGCCTGTTAAAAAGAGTTTAATTGCTCCAAGTTCATCTATGTCAGTGACTAATTGGTCCAAGTTCGCCTAACAAGCAATTAAGGGCAAAGGAGGATCAAGGAGAAGAGTTCTCTGCTGCGACATTGGAGATAGCTGTGTGGACTATCATTAGAGGGCATCATCCTTTTGAAGCCTACAAGAGATCGGAATAAGGTAATTCTAAATCCTATCGTGTTTCAATGAGCATTTTCTTTCTAAATCACATGAGGGCATAGATTGTCTATGCATTCCGCTTTCAGAAATTTTTTTATTTTTCCCTCATGTAGGCATATCATTGTGCGACAATGATGGTGCTAAAGTTTTGAACTTTCACTGTTCATACAGAACTGAGCTATGGGTTTGTGGACCCTATTTTGATGGAGTTGAACTTCTGTAAATACTTAACTAAATCAGAATCAAGGGATTAAGGGCTTATGGCTTTCGTGTCCTCGGTTTAGCCATGTTGTGGTTCCACCATGTCCCATGGGGGTATGGTTATATGCATGCTGTGTTACATGCTTTTGATATTTGAAATGCTGTTGAGCTTTATGTGTAATGGCTTTTAATATGCATGTGTTGTTCCATCTTGACGGTAAGCCTGAGTGTGTGGCGTCATACAAGACGGTGATCCGGGGTGGATGCAAGTGGCGTCTTGCACTATGTGTGGGTATTTGGCGTATATAAATCCTGCATTTCTCTGGCCAATAGAATAGAATTGACACACATGATATGATTATCTGCTGCATAACACTATTTTAGAACTGATGATGATAAACTGCTTTTGAACTTATATTGCACATGTAAGTGAGCTTGGGGTGAAAGATCCTTGAGGACCCCTTGCCTTACTGAGATTTCTTGTTTAGAGATTGATGTGCCTCTGGCAAGTGTGGTTTTTCCATGTTAAAATTGATAAGAATTGGGTCATAAGAGAGCTATTTAAATACATATTTGCTATTTATATTGATTCTTTCTATGTCAATAATATTCACCTTTTGGCTGTGTTTTTACAGGAAAAAGAGGAGTGAAAATTACAAATTATAAAAAGCCTGTTGACACAACTCCACACAGAGGAATATTCCATCCGGGTGCAGCATAGGCGAAGGTCCAGAGAAATGGCGCCACTTAGCGCCAAACTCATGCTAAGTGGCGCCAAAGTGAAGCAGAATGGCGCCTCCCAGCATCATGGCGCCACTAGGCGCCCAACAAGAAGAAGAATGGCGCCACTAGGCGCCCAAAATGAGAAGGATGGCGCCAACTGGCGCCGAGTCACGGGAATTGGTTCCGAATTGCAGCATACATTGGGCAGGAAGTTGGCGCAAACGTGCGCCAAACCGGTGCCAGGATAGAAGTACCGTGTTATCTCGGGGGTATTTTTGGAAGAAGGAAAAGAGTCATATAAATAGGATCCTTTTGACAGAATTAGGGATTCAGACCTATTTCTTCAGAAGGAGACCGACGGCAGAGCTCAGGAGGATTCTTCTACAGTTCTTCTTCTCTTTTCTTCTTAATTTTATGCTCAGGAATATTGGATTATTTTTAGCCATGATTATGCTTGGCTAGTTTTTTTTTATTGTAGTTAGTGTCACAAACCCTATGTGAACCCTTGTTACGCGGATTGATTTATAATTGCTCGTTTATATAATTATCTTTATCTCTACCTTGTTCGTATTTGATATTTTCTTTATTAGAATTGATCACTCTAATAGTTGATAATAGTCTGAGGGTTAGAACCCTAGATAGGGATATTGGGGTTTTTATCCTGAAAGGGGGTAGGATAACGGTTCGTATGCATGCTAGGAATAGATGTGTATTGAATTGCGGATGCCTAAATTATAGAGTTCATCGCTTAATTTTCATGAGGGGTTGCTAAGGCATTAGGATTTCAATTGGGGATTAAAGGGTTAAATTTCCAGAGGATTGGGATTTAACTAATTATTTTAGATAATAATTTATCCGAGTAATTTTATAAATTAATGTTGTAAATCAATCCAAAGTAAGAAGTGGCGATCATAAGGTGAGTACGCTCTAGCTACAATACTTTTCTCATTTTTACAAATCAATTCTCGTTTTTTTTTCTCATAATTAAAATTTTAAAAACAAGTCTCTACTTTTATTTCTTATTGTTACTCAATTTCATTTCACAATTTTTCCAACAAAAAACTTAGTTTTCCAACTTAAGGGGACTGGTTATTGTAGTACTTGGTTTACAATCCCTGTGGAGACGATACTCTACTTACTTTCTATATTACTTGTGCGATCGGTATACTTGCCGGAGAGCATCAAGTTTTTGAATTGCAGCAGTTCTCAGGTGCAAGCCTACCAAGTAGGCTTGCAGCAGTTCTCAGAGATCTCACCCCACGTTTGGAGAAATGCTTATTTCAGGTTCAAGTAGTATGGGGACTGATGCCTCTGACGGCAGGAGGCCAGAGCTTAGTTGATGATATTGTTGTTAGTTATGCTGGCCTGTATGAATGCTGGATTTGGATGCTGTTTATGTTTTCTGCATTTATATGCGTATGTTGCTGTTGTTGAGACTGAAGTTGGGCTTTGTTGCCTTATTTGGGTGAGCATGGGGTTTGTCCATGCCACTATGTTGTTAGTACTTTTGAGTTGAGTTGTATAAACTGTTAGATGGTTCGACCTACGTTTTGTAGTTCCGTGACTAGAGACTCATACTTATGTTATTCTAATTAATGAGGTATTTCAGTTAGTTGTTTATTGCAATGTACATACAGGCGATGTTTTGAAAATGGTTAAGTAATCAAGTTGGTAATGATTTATGACATCATAATTGAAAAGAAAAAGATATTCCGCATTTTTAATTAAGCGCAGCTTAATACGACAGTATGATAACATTACTGGATATATACGGGGTGTTACAGCGAGCAATAACTTTATTTTTATGTGATTAGTAAAACCAAAAACATTTTTGTTCCATTCTTTTAGAAGTGAAATAAAAGAATTCAGACTATCCACTAGGCAATCAGAGAACTTCCAATTATCCTTAAGGAAAGAGGCAGAATCTGGGATCATTTTGCCAAGTAGCCAGAAACCTGAACGGGTGCTTTCTCCAACAATTATCCTCTTTCTCCAACCTGACTAGAATGGGACAGTGATCAGAGAATAATCTGGGGAGGGTTATAGTATCTGAATCTTCAAAGGTAGCTTTCCAGATGGCATTAGCTACTGCTCTATCAAGTCTTTTATAAACCCGATCTAAGTGAAGGAATTTCGGACCTCTCCACGTGAATCTATTACCAACACCACCTAGATCCAGAACACCACAAGCACTGAGAACATTAGAAAACCGTTACAATGGTTGACATCCACAGGACTCCCACCTCTCTTCTCAGCAGCTGAAGCAATCTCATTAAAGTCACCTAAAATGAGCCAAGGGTCATTCATAGACCTCCCAATATGTTTTAGTTCCTCCCAAAGACAACAACGTTTATCCTCATGGGGATTGGCATAAACAGTCGTCCAGCAAAAGGGTTTCTTCCCTGGTAACTCAACCAAAAAGTGAATAAATTGGTCATGCTTCACTAGAAGAGTGATATTTAAATCATTCGAATCCCAACAGATCCAAATACTGCCAACAAAACCATTGGCATCAGCAATCAGGTAGTTAGAATAACCCAAACTGCGAATAATTTTAATAGCCTTGCTACCACTAACAAGATGGCAGCCACACCAACCTTATACTTCCTATAAAATCTGTTAAAGGTACTTTTGAAAGGTTTTTTAGCAGCACCTCTATAGTTCCAAGTTAGAACATTCATAAGGAAATATTGGCTTGTTGCAAGATTGAGAAGTTCTTGCCACTTTGATCATGTGTTTCTTCAGCATGCTTCAGAGCTTCACTGCTCTCATTTGTAGTATCTAAAACAGATATATTTCTAATAGATTCGGCCAGGCCTAAGTGAGAAGAATCATCAATCTCCATACATGTTTGAGCTTCCATAACTTTGGGAACCTCCCTCATAATTAGATCAGGGGGATGCGGATCAATGTGAGAGGTGTCACAAACCATAGTATCAACTATGGGCCCAATGTTGTCAGCTACTAAGCTATCCTTTGTCCCAGTAAGAAGAGTACCTACACTGTCACAACCAAGGCATAAAACATCTTCCTTTGGCTTAGAGTAGCTTTGAGGCTTATCCTTAACAGATTTAAGAAGTTCTATGCTATTTCCTGGGTTCGGAACAACTTGGACTTGAAAGGTGGTTTCCTTTCCTTTAGATGAAGAGGGACTGTGGGAGGATTTCTTAGATGATACCATCACAGGAGAGGTTCCTGATCTAGAGACTTTTTTGGTGGGAGTATTAGCCACTGCAGAGAAATTTATTACAGGGTCAGAGGAGAAGACATTTTTTTCCGAGACACTGTTGTCTTTGTTATCAGTAAGAGGGAGTTGCACACCCGAAACCTTCTTAGCAGAACTAGAAGAGGAATTAGCTAAATTCTCCTTGTAAGTGGCATTATTCTTCCCAACCGGTCCTCCATTACGAATAGTATAAGAAACTTTTTTCCCTTTATCCTTAACAGCTTCAATCTTAGGTTCGTTTGGGGGAATTTTGTTGGAGATGTTGGTTCCAAAGTTTCTGGTTTCATTATTCTTTTTTTTTTGTAAACGGGGGTTGTTGCTTCTTTTTCTTCTGGACAACCATCCAAGGCCCCAGGCCTTGGCTAGTCATTTTATTCTTTGGCTCCTTCTCAACCGTAACACAATTGGGTGTGGTAGGTTTTGGTTTAGCAAAATCAAGGCACAAGTCAATATTGTGACCATAACGACCACAATGCAGGCATATAAGGAACAGTCCCTCGTACTCCACCTTGAAGGTTTCATCTTCTATATGGTACTATCCTCTCAGTAGTTTTGAGAGATCCAGGTCAACACATAGCCTAGCAAACTTGCCTTTATCTCCTGTAGAGGTGGTTTTGTCCACTTTAAGTACTTTACCAACAATATTACCAAAATGGAGGAGAAGGGGATACTCACAATATTCTTGCGGCACTCCAGGTAGGCGAATCCAAGCTGCCACTCTGTGAATCTTGGCTTTAGCTGGGTTGAAGAATGGTTCCCACTTCCTTATTGCCAGGTAGTGGCCAAGAATGTCCCATGGTCCGCCTGTTATAGCAATGTTGAGGTCTTCTAGGTTTGCAAATTTGATCGAGAAGAAATCGTTCCCCAAATCTGCCACCACGATGGACCCATGCTTAGCCCAAAGCTTCTCCAGCCTATTCTTCATGAAGGAGACCCCCACTTTCTTCCCAAGGAGCTTCACAATTAATGCATTCTTCCATGGTTCCCTTATTCTCTGTTTAGCTTCCTTTGTACATTGTATCCTCACTGATCCATCCTCTTCATAGATAGTTTTGAAACCCTCATTCAGAGATTTCTCCCAAATTGGAATCTAGGGGCTTACTATCTTCTTCTGTTAAGCCATCCATCCAAGTTGAATCCACTCTCGGAATGGTGTCTTCATTTCTGAGAGCATCCGCGAAGGATTTTGTCTTCCCTGCTGCAGGGTAGCTGCTGATACTACCTAACCTAGCTCCACGGTTCAATGACACTGAGATAAATTCTTCTCCATTCTTAGATCTTTTCACACTGCGTCTAAGTGTTTCGGGTGCTACAGTAGATGACTTGGAAATTTCTACAGGTTTCTCTTGGTGGGATGCCATTGCTGGTGCCCTAGCAGAGGGTTAAAGAGTAAAGAAAATCGCACGCGTGATCTCACGCTCTAACCCATTTTTTGCCATTGCTTTTCATCACTTTGAATTACATGATAAAGAACTCATGTTCACACCCTACCATGAAATTTCTATAATCCAATTCTATTTAGGATAGATGTGTATGTGGAGTGGCTAAACAAAACATATGTTATTCAGAAATGAATGGGCTTAGGCTCAAAGGGCTAAACAAAGAATATCAAAATAGTTGGCTTTTTGGCTAAGTAATTAAAACAATAAATTGCCTCAATCATTTCAAACATGTAAACAACCATTTTGAATTAAATAAAATTTAGAAAGAAGCTCGGGATCCTTCTACTTGAATTCAAGGTACAATAATATTATTCTAACATCTTATTTTTTACACTTTTTTTTTATACATTATTTTTTACACTATTATATCCTTTTTATCAGAAATAAATTTTCAAAATTCAGTTTTTTTATCTTCTCTTTCTTGTTTTATCTTTATAGAGAATTGCATATAAACATGTGAGAAAAAAATGAAATATAAGAATTATTATTGTGACAAGTATTTTTAAAAAAATTCTTAAAGTGAAATATTTTTAAAAATTAATAAAAAATCTCTTCTTAAATTTTTTTTTTTTTGATAACAATCTCTTCTTAAATTTAAATTAATTATATCACGTCACATTTTAAATTAATTAAAATTTAGAAAGAAGCTAACGATCCATCAACTCAATCTATGAAGCATTTATATCTGTTATCCAAAAAAAATAAATCAAGCATTTATATCTTGATAAACTCTACCTCGTACGCGTTGTTGTATTTTTTATCCAAGAAAAGTCAAACTCGAAAAAACATTTAATTATATCTTGATAAGCTCTACACTCGTAACCATTGGCCGACCTACTCATGCGCAATATTGTCCGCACTTGCGGATATAATTGTTTTTAAAAAAAATATAAAAAAGTTTTTGATGGTTGATTCTGGTGACGGCAAATCACAAATGCGACGGGTGAGGGGTTGGTTATGTGGTGGCTGATTCTGGTGCTCGAGGTGATGGCTTACATGCAAGGCAGAAGGCCAAGGAAGCAAAATAATCAAAATAGAGTGTGACACGAAGATAGAGCAGAGATACATTTGGGTTGATGATGATAAGATATGAGGGGGGGAGGGTGGTTGTTATTGATGATTCTGGTGGTGGGGCCTTGAGACTATGGTGTGGGAGTGTGTTTCGTGCATGATATCCCTGGCTTCAAATCAAGGTAAGCAAGAAGCACCCCTTTCCGTAACTAGTGCGTCAACCAGAAGTCTCGTCATTTATTTTCAAAAGGAATTTCAATGATATTCTAAGGTTATGTATGTGGTGGTGGCCTTATCTATATTGTTATAGATGAGTTGATTTTTGATTACTATCTTTTTATACTAAGTTGAAGTTTTTTTTTTTATATTTTTTTTATTTCTTAATGTATAATTAAATGCCTCCACCATTTTATTCTAGTTAATTTCTAGTTACGTCTTTCATACGACAACTTCATTGCCAGAATTAACGATGTTCCCTCTTACTCGTCAAGTCCCTGAGGACAATATATACTGTTGGAGATTGTTAGGATATCAATATTTGTTAGGATATTATACTGTTAGATATATTATACGGTTAGATTGTTATATTGCAGATTCTTTAGTTTGTTACTAGATAGTTAGATAATTTAGATAGTTGTTTTTATATCTTATCATTTCTCTGTAACAAAGCTCTGTAACAAATCGTGTATCTGTTTTGCCGATTGCCTATTAAAAGGCTGCACACTTGAATAATATCAACAGGTTGCATTACCAAGTTTATCTTGGTATCAGAGCGCACCAAAATTAAACAACGCTTCCGTAGTGTGAGGAAAAGTGCGAAAGCTTGCCCTACGGAAGATGGCCAGCAGCAAGATGAAACCCTCGGATCCTGGATCGCCATTTCATCTGGCAGGTTCGGATAATCTGGGAATTTTGCTTACAACTGTAATGCTGCGTGGAGAAGCCAACTATGAGAATTGGGCAAAGCTCATGAAAAACGCACTAAGAGCGAAAAATAAGTTAGGTTTCGTTACTGGAACCGTAAAGAAACCAGAGGAAGATGACGGGGAAGAATGGCGAGCGTGGGAGATGTGCAATTCGATGATCAATGGTTGGATACATAATACCATTGATGCGAAATTGCAGCATTCATCAAATGTTTTGATGAAGTAAAAGATTTGTGGGATGATTTGAAGGAGAGATATGCCGTGGAAAATTCTCCACGTCAATATCAACTCAAGACCAGTTTAGCTAATATAAAACAACTTGGAAATAGTGTGGGTGAATACTATACCAAGTTAAGAGCTGTGTGGGACATGTGACTGTGGAGACAAGTGTGCTTACGCAAAGGAGATCGAAGAAGAGAAGGAACATGACCGTGTTTATCAATTTCTCATGGGACTTGATGAGGCTGTCTTTGGCAATTTACGTTCACAGATTTTGAACACCTCACCTTTGCCAAATGTCAACAAAGTGTATGCAATTGTTACGCAAGAAGAAACTCATCGTAACATTGCCCGCCATCAGGAAGAACGAGAAAATGTGGTAGGATATGTAGCTCAGGTTGGATTGAAAGACAAGATGGAAAGTCATGATCAGCACACGATCTCTGGCAAACAAGCCGAGAGAGTGTCGTGTCCTCATTGCGGGAAAACCAGCCATGATCCCTCACGTTGTTGGAACGTCATTGGATTTCCAGCAAACAGATTTGGTGAACGGGGACGTGGAAGAGGACGATCAGGAGGAAGACATCAACAAGCTCATGCCATGCAGACTTGGGAAAGCTCTCAACCAGCCGTAGCATCCTATCAAGGTGATGCACTTCAACAAGCTGCAACAGCAGCTTCTTACCAGAATAATGTGCCTCCGCAGGTCACAGCGAATTCAATGTTGACACCTGAAATTATGAACAAGCTCATTGCCTTGGTTGAACAGCCATCCAATGATAAATTGTCTGGTAAGATTACACACTTTCAATGGCTTATTGATAGCGGAGCCTCTCGCCACATGACGGGATCCTTGA